TTTACTCCCCCTTGAGTCTCTCCATACGGCCCTCCATGTAATAGAGAACTGACGTCACTAACATGCAGTATGAATCTTTCACGGCAGACCCAAAAATGTTGCACTTTCTCTCTCTAACTAGGAACACGATGCATTCACGAGGGTGCAGAGGGAGGACGGTATAATATGGACACACCTGGCCGTGTAATACAATCCTCTGTGATAGCTTGTTAAATTTCTAATGAGGAGGTGGTTATTCAACTCTGTGATCCTTTTTGGAGGGTTAGGGTTTGTGTACATTGTCAGGAGTGTGTGTGTTATATTGTCCATCCCCTATAATTCAAAGAAAACCTAACAGAGGACGTGGGGAAATAATTTTCTAGGTTCTCCAACATCACTGAACAAAAATGAGGAGGGGAAAAATCTAACTAAATGCACAACTATCCCCCAATCTAAAATGATGCAGCAATAGTTTGACATTTAGGAAATATGCTTATTATCTTTCTTGCAGTGTAAAGAGGACTTTAATGCCGAGGCGTAGCTGTAGTTCGCACCTCTGAAGCTCACTGAAGTGCACTTTATAGGAGGATTAAATGCGGAACCACTCCTTGGCCGGCAGAGACGCAGGAATTCCTGGTGCTAGCCAAGAATAATTTGGCACATGACTTCCCATTAAGCAAGGAATTGTTGCTTTTGCACTTTGGATTTTGTACAACGAGCTTTACAGGTGCTTTGGAGAGAAGCTAAATGTTAATTTCCTTGCATTCTATATGCTAAACCGCCGACTCAAGCTGCATAGTAAGGGCAGGAGAGAGGTATTGATCGTTCCATCTAGGCTTGATTTATACCTGTGGCGTAGCTCCACATAGTCGTGTACATTACGCTGTAGCACCTCATCAGAAATGTAGCTACACATTGCGGCGATGCAGACCACAACAACTGTGTTATGATGTTCGCAGGGAATGTTTGTTGGTGCAAAGATAATACGTCTGTGAAACAAAATTTAACATGTAATAGGCTGGAGTTTTGTCTAACTTGCTCATAGCACCGGTGCAAAACCCAGTTGTCTCCCAAAGTGGTCATATGTAGTTTTCTTGTTTTCATAGCTCCACCAATATTCTGCTAAAAGCATCTTATCCACAGCATTCATTAGCATCAACTCAAGCACGATCCGCTCTGGAAACTCAACACAGTGGCACAGAAACCCCACCATGACAGTGCAAGAAGTATAAATACTAACCACCTCCATCGGCTCTCTGTACATTCAAGGCAGGAGAATAAATCAAGTTAAGCTCTTATAGCGAGAAAGCAAATAAGCGTATTTCCTAAAATGTGTTCCCTCAACAACCTGCAGCTTGTCCTAAACAAACAATGAAAACCTTGTAAGCCTTTATTGCCTGATTCCTCAGCCCTGATAATCCTCCCAGACGGGAGATCGGGTGGGCGGCGGGTGAGCTCTTGAAAGGTCCTCGGACTTACAGCGAGCAGAGGATCAAAACCGGCGTTGTGTGTTCCACAGCTGCTGTTGCTATTTCTGTGTATATTAGTCACACAGCATTTGATTAAAAACCCACCATAATGGACTTACACAGTAGGTCTCCAGACGACCTACTGGGAGCCAAAAACACTCCTCCCGATTTGCTGGATCAGCATTCCTCCCTGTGACCGACGCAGACGTCTTTCCATCCGACACAAGTCTCCTTGATTCCTGGCAGAGGGAGGAATGTCCCTCAGACAAGCGCTCCATTGACATAACCTTGCGAGAAAGCGAAAGGGGATTAATCTGCATTCCGGACATACTTTTGCGAGTGTCATATCGCTAAATGTTTCACCAGTGAGTTTCTGTGAGAGGCAGTAAACCTGCAGCTCTCTGCGTTTTGACTCATTTGGTCATTTTTGGGTCAGTCTGCTGAAGATTCAGTTGTTTGGGGGGGGATCTCTAACCACAGTGATTCTCAAATGTCACACTCAAAAACCACAGAATCATTCACCCTCTACAGACCGAAAAAAAAAAGTCTGTGCTTCTCCTAAAAATACTAAATTCCTCTCATGCATCTTCACATTGAGATTCATTGTGTTAGAGTGACTAGCCTCCTCTGTCCCCTGAGAGTAGATTCCTCATTGTAGTCTAGCACTAGTAGACTTACAACCTTCTCATGTCATCAGACCTTAACACTTTAGACGTCTAAACTGCACAGTATCCTTGTTCCTCTATTCACAAATGTGGATGTAGGCAGAAAACATTCTAGCTACAGTCACGTGTAGGCTGTCAGAGGTACAGTAATCACCTGTATAACTATGGCTGATGCGCACATTCTATACACACCTATCTATCCAAACATCATTTCCGTCTTCATACCCAAATCCATTTTTCTGCTTTACCCAATTCTCTCCTTGCATTTTTACCCTAATCGGTCCTCAAGAGTCCGGTGGGTCCACTTTCCAAGCAATGCTGCCTTCTGTCCATTTGATGAATGTCCAGTACTGCTCAGTACATCAGACTTAGTGAATGAGTGGTCTAGTGTCCTCACAGTTGACTCATAATTGGCTCTGGTTGTGATGTAAATCCTTCTAGAAACATAATAATGCATGTGCATACGAAGCTATGAAGGCATCTGAATGTACATTTGCACACGTCGTCTGTCTCAGTAGCTGTCGGTGCTTTTGCATTTTGTCAGCAGTTGACTGTTTTTTTTGTTATATTTTTTTTGTCTAGTAATCTGTTTAGCACTGTGTGTGTTTGTGTGTGCGTGCGTGTGTGTGTGCGTGTGTGCGTCCAGTATTCACTGTTCAGTGTCTTGTTGTGTACAGCATGTGTTTCGCTTTACCGGTTTGTATCTTATCAACCCTCCTTGTGTGTGTTTTGTGTGTGTGTGTGTGTGTGTATAGGCCGGTATTGCAGGAGCGCCTGCTCGTGCCGTATCAGCTGTAAAGAACATGAACCTCCCGGAAATGCCCAGAAACATCAACATTGGTGACATCAGCATAAAAGTGCCAAATTTACCCTCCTTCAAATAGTGGCAGCGAGATCCCGAACCTGCAGATGTCAGCCAATGTTTACTGTGATGCAATCTGTTTACCAAAACCTCAAAAATTACTAACTTTTATCAGAAACTATACATCTTGAAGGTACTGTGTGATTTGACACTCCTTGTTCTGGTGTTATATCTTTGTTTTTCCGATTAAAGAATGTTTCTTGTGTTTTTTTTTGTTTGTTTTTTTTTCTCTGTTTGAAGGAAAAATGAAGTATTTATTTATCAGTGGTACATTCCTTCTGCCTCACTGGAGACTGGCTCTAGACGTTCGGCTCCTCCAGTACAGATCTGTGTCAGTTTGTAACTGAAATACTTTCACGTACTTAACTGTTTACTCTAAAGAGAAAGCCTGGCAGAGGAAGAAAGTGACGTTTTCGACAGTCTTACTGGTTTGGCTAATCCACACCAGAGAAATCAATCAAGGAAGAAAGTAAATGAAACCGTTTCGAATCCCAAATTGAAACAGGTCTGCTACAGTATTGACAAGTTATACCTTACAGAATATTATTATAATGCAAAATACTGCAGATATGCTGTGTGACAGAAATATCGATAAATATATATATATATAGACACATATGCTGAAATGATTTTTTTCTTCTCTTATTTGTATGCAAAATATTTTTAAATGATTTATCATGTCTTATCAAAAGAAATCTTAATTTTCGTCTGTGCATGATTTTTTTTTCTCTCCTTTTTCAACATAATAAACTGTCGAAACTCAACTTGTGTGTTTGGCTTATTTACATATTGTCTTACATTGTTTATTTGTATGTATATACATTTACCAATATCTAATAAAAGAACAGGATAGATTACATTTTCCCTTGATATCCACTTTAAATTCCATTTAGTCCATCTTGTGTAACGCTGCTGCAGGTGGAAGGTAGGTGAGGACCACACAGTGAAACATAATGTTAGCAAATTGCACCACTTTATAAAGGGGCCCTTCATAAAGAGTGTAAGATGAAACCAGTGCCTATAACAGTACTTAATTAAACATGTGCTTTTTAAAAATTAACGCTCTCAATCTCGCCCTGGAAACTGCCTTCAGCAGGTGGGTCCTCTATTCTAGCGTTAGAAGGGTTTTACTTGATTTTATTATAAATTACATCATGACTGAAGGGTTAATTTTGCCAAATTGGAGTTTCTTGTATGAGTACTTTTTTTCTTTAACAATATTGTATATTTTAAGGGGTCAGTGTTGGCCGTCATGTAGGTGTGCTGGTGGAGGCAAAGTAAGAGAAAGGCTGTTTCAGTTCTATTGCTTTAGATACGGAATGCACAAAAGAATTTCTCTCACTTAAAGATGTTTCAATGCAGACAGAAACATGTTTTTCCATTTTAAATATATTGGAGTTGTTTACATTTTACAGAAGAATTTAAACAAGAAAGACAAAGAAAAGAATAAAACAGTAAGTCACCCTGCAAAGTGTTAAATGTGACAATAATGATGGGACCTAGTTTCTGCAGGTTTTTTCCCTGGCATGCACATAAAAAGGGACAACTTACAACAGCTTAAAATAAACTTTTTGCTTCGGTGCACTTTAAAAAAAAAAAAAAAAGAAAAAATCATTTACTGATGCTGTGATAAAATAAAATAAAATGCACGGCCGTTTCAGGGTCGACACCACAAACATTTAATATCCATATCAATATAATATAGACATTATTGCGTAACGGGCATAGACCTCGGCTATTAGACAAATGTGCGGTTGCGCATTCTGGATTTGTCCACAGCGGTTTCCGTAGGCACTTTTTGAGACACACTATGCGCAGTTACGCACAAAACGCGTTAAATAAAGTCCATTGTGCTGTAAATAGTCGTTGGGGGAAAAAACTGAATTAAAATCAGTTATATTTCTTGTTTTGAGGGCAACTGTAGAGGTTTACGTCTGTTGTGTATGCTGCCGGCTGCCGTAGTACTGCGCTCCATTGCGCATCTCTTACTGCGCAGCTTTGACTGTCACGTGAGTGGTCTTGTGACAACAGGAAGTAGGAATGACAACAGTGTGAAGATGCTGCTGCTGCTGCCGCTTTGAAAGTCTTCACTGTTCATTAGCAAACATAAGGAGCCAACAATGACTTCAATTATAAAAGAAACGCAAAGGTGAGCAGCTTGTGTGCGGGTTTAATTCAGAAACTAATAATACGTCCAGCAGCTAACGCTAAGCTACCTGTTAGCACACCAAGATATCAAAGTTAACGATATTGGGATTTGGTGCAAAAAGAAAAAAAACGTTACACTAGCTTGGAGGTGACATGTGTTACTGATGCAGTCATTAAAATGTGCTTGAATTTGTCAGGTCTTCTTGCACTCATTTAATCTGTCTTCTTCCACTTTTCTCTGTACCTTTATTGGCTGTACTATTTACTTGAAATCCCTTTTGTGGTAACGTTAGCCAGCAATGTGGTCGACAGGAGTGAAATAACTGTTCCTTAATGTTATAGGGAAACTTCGAGGTATTTGTAGTCCATCTGAGCAGAGTTTTCTTTCTGAGAAGACACTAATAAGATGATAACTTAAGTACAATCTCTAATAAATAAATTTCAAGTTCATGTTCACAAGATACTTTGCAGACAATGGATTTTATACTTATGTTTACCTTCAACTTGCACTAGATGTGATGCACTTTCAGTTCAGGTTTAAAGTGGACATCAGTATTGGGATGTCAACATACCTATAATACAGCAATAGTACCTATAATACACATATGATACAGCCTAAACGTTCAGTGTAACTAATGTAGAAGTGTTTGTTTAACAGTTGTTATGCAAGAATCACAGAACAAATCACAACACTTCTAAATATATACTTTGGAGAATAATTATTTGTAGTGAATATGTGTGACAATAATAAAACACAAAAACATAAGTGTGATGTGACTGAACAAGGTTTTATTTTTAATTGACAGAAATGAGACTATAAGGAAGTAAGTTCAGGATTAGCTTCAATAACTTGTGTGATCATAATAAAAATTAGGATAGAAAAAAATACAACAAATACACACACATACTCCCACACAAAAGTCTCAGATCTAAAATTACTATGCAAGATGCACAAATTTAAAATACAGTTGTGTTTGCAGCTGCTTGGCTTGAATAAAATACTTATTGCCTCATTTTATTGGAGTACATTAGCTTAGTATGGACAGTTAGTGGAATGTGTTTATTGTCTGTGTGTGCAATAGTTTTTGTTCTTTATTCATGAGTTCACAGCCTCATTTTAGGCTGCTGTGCACTCTTCACACTTGGGCTTGTTTTGTTTTTTTAGCTGTGGAACCTATTGTATTACATACAAAGCAATGTTGTCACTGTTGTATGTGTACAGTTTGTACTTTTGTCGTATGGAGGTACCTTTGAAACTCACTGACAGCCAGAGAGAAGTAACTTTCATGTGTGACAACATACTTGAGCAGTAAACTGTGATTGTTTTTCTTAACTCCAACATCTGAGCGCTCTCTACATCACTGTCATTAACACTCGCGACTTTTCTTTCGAAACAGCATAAAAGAAGCCGTGACTTTCATCAACGCAATTGATGTGAACAAGTTCTCCAGGCTGATCTCTCGCATCATACAAAAGCTTCATCTGAAGGTACAGAAACGGCAGAGTGTTGTCTTTGCCAAAGACACGAGTCTTTGCAGCAAAGCTGTAGTGTGAGACAGAGCAGTGCATGCATAATGACTCACTGGAGCATCAGTCAGTCTCGGCACTAATGAATGCATGCACAGGCCCGGCCCTGTTGATCATTCTGCTTCTTCTTTTCTTTTTTTCACAAGGCGTAGCTGGCTGTCAAGCTAAATCCTTTATTCCAACAACAATTTGTGTGTTTAGTTAGATTCTTTTGAATTGCTAATAGGAGGTAATACATCTTTGTTTATTATTATTATTATTTAATATTAATAATTATAATAATAATAATTTTGATGATGATAGTAATACAAATAAGGATTTGTTGTAATTCACACTTTGACATGCCATGACAGGAAATGTATAAGTTTAACTAATAGCAGTAACAGTGGTGGTTTTACGTGATTGCTCACTGACTTTCTCTTAATAAGAACGGAGCCATTGTTCATGTGTGTTGAACTTGTGCTTTTTCTGCTCTGACAAGCCAAGATGTCTGCTTACTGTGTTGGATTTTATGCTATTTTATTATGAATTTGTGTTTGCCTTCTTCCCAAATACATGTTACTACGTTTAGTTTTTAATCGATATTCTATGTTACCTTTGTTGTTGCTGTGCCAGTCACTGTGTTTTGGTTTATTTAGTGTAAGGCATTTCAAACTGCAGCTATGATGTTTTACTAGTGGTTTATATGTTCAGAATATTTTTAATCATTTTGTGCAAAAACATTAAAAATGATGACAATTGATCAGTAGAGCGTAAATCTCTTTGTATTCATTTCATAGTAGTGCCATTAAATAAAGACCAGAAACTCAAACTCAGCATTTGTGGTACTGTATCTACTGTAAATGGAAAAGTTGCATATTGTCAGCTATAATACATAACTATCTAATAAACTGATTGAGCTTTTTAGGAAATGCTATGACTTATAGCTTGACTATCTCAGCACAAGTGACTCTGATCTGCAGTTGTTTCGATGTGAGCATTTTATCTATTAAGTATTACTTGCTGCTTGTGAAGACACATATTAGTGAAATCCCCTCAACTCCATTATTATTGTCAAATATGTCGGATTAAATTCTGGCCACTGACACTCACAGAATGTGTTTTATAGATAACGCTGACAAGTTGTTGATTGTCGAGTACAAAGGAAACTTTAGAGGATTTTTTTGGAGGATTTTTTGTTCATGTAAACAATTAGTTAACCTTTTTTTCTTCTTCTTCACAGGGAGAGCGGACATTCAGTGAAGAAGAGGAGGAAAAACTCCAGGCTGCTCTCTCATTGGATAAAAATGCTCTCAGTCTGGTCCTGGAAACTGCTGCCTTTATACTAGAGCAGGTGGGTGGTCGTCTGACAGCCTGTGTCACATTATCAGAGAGGTTTTTCTATAGATTATGTCATGACTGAAAGGTAAATGTTTCAAGGCTGGAGTTTCTGAATAATCTGGTGTTTTCATTTGATGTGATGGAGGAGGCTAAGTAGGTACAATTCTCAGTTTGATTTGCTTTAGATATGGAACAAAAGAAATATGATTACCTCACTGAGATATGTTGCTGCAGTGCAGATAGAAACATTTCTGTTTATATTAAATTTACCCGAGTTCTCGAGTGGAGTTGTTTACTGTGTACACAAGAATTTAATGATATTATCTCCAGCGACTGTGCAGGTGCTCCTGGGAGTGACTACGATAACGGGACTGTTTACAAGCTCCTGCGGTGATTTTCCTGCCATGCACATAAAAAAAAGTGACAAATTACAGCCCAAGATATACACTTTGCTTAAGTGTATATTGTAAATAACTCAATATGTTGTGAAATATGATAAGAGGTCGGTGGAACGTCTGCAGCTTGTGGATCACGTTGTGGAGCCGTTTCTCCAGCTGGGGTCACTGTTGTATTGTGTGGTTGTATTTTTGTTGTGTTGAGTGTTAAATGGGTGGTACTGATGCTATAAATGTACCTGCTTCTCCTCTCCTCTCCTCTCCTCTCCTCTCCTCTCCTCTCCTCTCCTCTCCTCTCCTAGGCGGTGTATCATAACATAAAGCCGGCGTCTCTGCAGCAGCAGCTGGAGGTGATTAATCTAAGCCCAGACAAAGCTGAGGTGTTCTCTCAAACCTGGGCCAGTGCTGGGCCTGAGCTGGTGGAGAGGCTGAAGCGTAATATCTTTGCCCCCAAGAAGGTAAAACTAATAAATAAGCTTTTTCTTTTTTGGTCACCATCAGGCTTTCTTCAGCACTAAATCTGAGCTTCACTTACACCTGCTATGATACCATTTCAACTCAAAATCTGCTCACGTTTCAGCGTTTTCATGTTAGACTAACACACTTCCAGACTGTAAATGATTGTATTTTACATTTCTTGTGAACGGAGCACTCTTGGGACATTACAGTTATATGATACTAAATCGAGACTCAACATCACAGTGTCCATATTAAGACTGACCTGCTTTTGTTGAGTTCCTTCCATCCGTTTGGATTACAAAGACTTCTTTCACAGCTCACAAGTTATTACATTAATTTCCAAACTTGTTTCTGTCTATAACTTGATTAAACAGTGACACTTCAAACAGCCTTCCTTTCAAAGACGAGGGAATTAAGATCTAACTCAGAATAAATATGCAGCATGTACGCATTAGTCGCGTTGTGCTGGATGTGTTGCTGCTGTCATGCGTTTAGACGTCTCACCTGCCTGCGTCTCGTAAGTCTTCTCACGAATTTGAAGCAGAAGGCTGAGGTAGTCGTTGATCCTTGAGATGTCCTCTGCTGCTGCTTTCACTTTGAGCTAAAGACTGTTCAACTATGTAACTACAATGTTAGTAATACTGTAATAACTGACAGGTGGATGCTTCCTCTCGTCTAATTTTTCTGTTTAATAGAAAGCCGGGTTTTGTGCTTTTTAGAAGATTGTTTTACAGGAGTTATTCCTTTTTGACTGCCACATAAGAAATAAGTAAATCCGCTAACGGCCTTCTTGTCATTTCTTCCTCACATTTGCTAAATATCTTACATCATGCAGCGGCTGTAGGTCAGGTGGCAGAGCGGGTTGTCCTCCGATCGTGAGGTTGGCGGTTTGATGCCCTGCTCCTCCACAGTCGAAGTGTCCTTGGGCAAGACACTGAACCTGAAGTTGCTCCCAATGGCAGGCAGCACCTTGCATGGTCGCCATTGGTGTATGAATGTGATCTGCTCTCAGATAAAAGCATCTGCTAAATGTGATAATATAAGATAATATCATGCAGTTCCTGCCTCTTGCACCAGTTATGTTCAAATCAGGACTACAAGGCTGCAGCTAGTTGTTAAGCAGAACATTAGTTTGATAATGAAGTAAGTTTGGCAATTTTTTAAAGCAAGAATACCAAAGATATGCTGATTTGAGCTTCTGAAAAGTGAGCATTTCATGTTTTTCTTTGTCATTGTCATGGTGGTCAGAGTACATCTTTGGTTATTTGACTCTTGGACGGTTGGTTGGACAGAACTCGGCATTTGTAGGGGTTTTTAAATGCAGGTTCCAAACCAAAAATAAACTGGATTAAATGCAAAGCAGCTTCACAAATAAATACAACCCCAAGTTAGACAAATGACTGTTGGCTATTTTCCAACTTTGAGTTCAATAATCTGAAAACATTCATGTTTAAAAAACCGACATGGAAGTACAGGATGTCACAGTTCATATTTAATGCTGCTGTTGACAGAGAATTAAGGGATTTACCTTCACCTTCAGTGGACAGTGATGATCTCTTTGAGTACCTGCATTAAATGTTAAATAGAGCAAAATCCTACTTTGAATGCTGCAGACATTTAATGGAGCAGGAAATACAGAAATGCATTAGATGGTAACGCTACTGATGATATACTATGAAATGTCTTCTTTAAATTTGTCTTTATGATTAGTAAGTTACTATCAGTGAATTTATTTTATTGATGTATTTCTTTATTTTGTTTCATTTGCATATACTGAAAGTTAAAAAACAAGTCACGCCACAGAGTTGTGATGTTTATTCGTGCTAATTTGAATGTTATTCCAGTCGTGAATGATGTGGCCGAGGCCTTTCCCACCTCACACCTGTCCTCTGATGATGTGGAAGCATCCAGACCCAATAAGTCACACATGGTTTATTATTATGGCCTCTCGCTGCATCATAAAACACTTAACTGCCCTGCCTTGACTCAGTGCTGCTAATCTATCACACCGCTACAGCTAACTGATGAAGTATCTGTCAGTAAATCAGTCAGGCAGGTGGCGAATTGGTGAGACTGGTACGAGGAGACGCTACAAGGTTTTTGTGGGACTTGAACATCACGTAGACACAAAAGTTAGGATGAGAGAATGATCGTCTGACAACCTGCAGCCTGCTGGCATGTTGGCTTAAATTAAAGGAGATCAAGTGAGATTTTAAAGTAGTAAATCTTCACCAGCGTGATGGTAACTATATTCAGGAGCGTGATAATGTGACTTCAATTAATAATGTTGGCTGTTGGTCATCTGGTGTGTACATAGTGAGCAAACAAGACATGAATAACTTGTGCTCGTTCTACTGTCAGCTGAAGAAATTCTTCTAACAGGTTTGTGGCCTTCAGAAAGATAGACTTAAGTTAGAAAGTTAAATCCAACATCCATCCATCCATTCATCCATCCATCCATCCATCCATGATCTATACACCGCTTAATCCTCACTGGGGTCATGGGGGGCTGGAGTCCATCCCAGCTGACTCAGGGTGAAGGCAGGTTCACCTGGACAGGTAACCAGTCTATCACAGGGCTACACTTAGAGACACAACCAAGCACACTCACATTCACACCTACGGACAATTTACAATCACCAATTAACCTCAGCATGTCTTTGGACTGTGTGGGAGGAAGCCGGAGAACCTGGAGAGAACCCATGGGGAGAACATGGAGACTCCACACAGAAAGATCCCAGGTATCCTCACCAGGACGCGAACCAGCGACCTTCTAGCTGCGAGGCAACGATGCTAACCACCACTCCACCTTGCAGCCCTTGACCAAACCAGTCCAACATAATGTCAGTGCTAAATAGATTAATAAAGCACAAAATGGTTTGTAAACAGAAATGATAAAAACAGCAACAATAAAGAAGTGAACAGTGAAAAATTAGGTCAACGTCTGAGAAGATTAAAAAGAAAAATAAACAAACAGTGCATGAATATATGGTATACATTCTCCCTCTGATATTTTATGGGAAAGTGTCACTTTTTTCAGTCTTTGAAAGAGTGCCTGGGGGATTTATAAAACTGAAGTGTGAAGGTTTTAAAAAATGCGTCAGTAGTTAAAAACCGGCTCCATTTGTGTGTTTCAGCTGGAATATGTCGGCTGGCAGTTGAACCTGCAGATGGCTCAGTCCAGCCAAGCCAGACTGAAGTCTCCCAGTGCCGTCCTCCAACTGGGCCTCCACAACGAAGACTCTGAGGTATGAATCCATACTGACAGTACGCATATATGCACCATAAACATGTGCGTCCTTATTTTTCTTGCTCTGCTTCTCCACTCTCTTATATGCACCCCAATTACCCAAAGTCTTACTATGCACTGTAATCAGGGAACCGCTCTGTGTTTATGACAAATGAGAAGCATCTCCAGCCTGGCCCTCTTTTTTTTCTTTTGCGAGTCGATGATAATCCCACTGGTGTCTGTCTTGACCCAGAGGTAGACGTACATCTGGCTCCAGAGTAACTGTAGTGTAAAGACCAGAGATCAGGGAGCTTGTTATCTGAGACCTCCAGGGTCTCTTTGTTCTCTTGAGAGACTTGCACTCTAAAATTGGACAGTATGTGCAATTATTGAGGGGGGTTGTCTTGTATCTGGCGTTGAATTCTATCTGTTAATGCGCACTATCGATGCTTGTTTGCTCTGGCTTGTCCATACGTCTGCTTTATTGTGGTCATTAGTGTGGTCATTCTTTACATTCTTTGTGTTTGCACAGGTACGATACGAAGGGTTTTGTTGCAGCATCCTAATGAGACCCGGTCTTAAATATATGTTTAAAGGAAAACACGTGATAGAATCGTGGTTATACTTTATGTTTTCCTCTGTAGCGCTTCTCTGTTTCCATTTGTTTTTATTCAGTAGTCTGTTTGGGTCCCAATTAGCTAATGCCACATACTTACTCTAATAGCCAAGACCTCAAGAGCCTCCCTCACTCATTTCTTCCTTTTCCACTGGGAGAATTAAAGCTCGGTAGCTGTAGCATAAGCAATGAGAAACTCAAAGAGCTGTTTCTTTCTCAAATGAAATGATTTTCAACCTTTGAAAAACGTGATCTAGTTTCTCTAGACTTAATGTTTTAATTCTTCTAACAGCTACAACACATACTCGGCGAAGCAAATATTTGAAATATATTCCGCAGACTGCGACGTAGGACTGTTGTTTGCCGGCATGGATATTGAAAATTTCCGTTATGGCCTTCAGGCATTTGAATGGGTTTCTTTTAAAGCAGTTCTTGTCTCAAAATGGTGGGACTGATTATCCCTTGAGCCTGGATAGTGTTGTTCCAGCTGACTAGTCAAGTGTCTTTCTTCCACACTGCTTTGTATTCAGTCCCCAGAGAATGCCGGCTCAGCCTAAACGTGGAATTAGGCATGACATATTCAAATTGCTGCCGTCTTAAATGCGGGCCTATAGGCGTGAGCTAGAGAAAATATATGTTTTTCTGTAGCTTTGTGAACGCGACAGCGGCGAGATATTTTTATGTTTTGGACTATTTTCAGCGGTGTTTACCCTAGGCTTGCAAAAGAGGCATTAATTTATTTAAATCCACTCACACAATTCCCCTTGTGGGAGGAGATAGCTGGGGGGCTAAAACAAGGCTGGTTAAAAGTGTGAAGGGATCAACTTCATTTGGGCGCACGTCCGACGGCGTCCTGCAGGGGGCACTGTTGTCTCACAGGTTGGAAAGCGTCCCTCGGGGGCAGTGAAGTATCTGAGATGGATAGGATTCCTCCTTAGCTTAGCATTAAGGCAGTTTGTGCACAGTTTTTTTTTTTGTTTTTTTTTAAAGTTCCATCAGTGTTTTCTGATTAGAGTTTTTTGACAGTAAGTTTGTTTTCTTCCCAACTCTCTGAGAATCGCTCAGTGCAACTTCTGGAACGTCAAAACACTGCAGTGACTGAGAACTAAATTAGTTGTGAATAGAAATGAAATTCCGCTGCAAGTGTCATACTAATTACAGCACAGATTTATAACACCCGCGCTGCTAACCGTCTGAAAGAAAGGCGAACAACCGCGGAGAAACGAGAGAGGATTAAGAGGTGATGGGAGCAGGCGACGGGGAGGTATGAGGTTAGAGAGAGAGAGGAGGTGAAAACCTGTGTATAAAGGGTGTAGAGCGAGCAATAATGAAGATGAAGAGGATAAAGGATAGAAATTTAATATAACGAGAGGAAGGCGAGGGTAGCATTCGGGATTTTTATTGATTGCTTGGAACCCAAGTGGAGAGTTAGAGACTCCTCCATCTGACCAGCCTCGTACTTCATTAGCACTCTCCCTGAGGAGGAGGAGGACTGCCAGGGCGCTTCACATGTCATTCCCCAAACAATATGTGACATGCAGTATGTCTACAGTACAGCAGATAAGATGTTAGAAGGCTTCAAATTAGAAACGAGTGGACTCCATTTTAGTGATATTCAGATTTGCTTTGTTTTTATTGAAATATTTATGATCGAGGGGGAGATATATTCCTCATGTGTCCTCCACAATGTGTGAAGCAACAGCCTATATTGAATTTATAGATTTCTGCTTCCATGCAACAGTCATCCCAGCACCCCACCCATGGGAGCTGCTATTTTCCTCAGCTGAATTTGTATTGGGCTCAGGAAAGTTGCTGTTTCCCACAAAAAAAAAAAGCCATTGCAGTGCATCTGCAAACAGGCAGAAGTGTCCTCTCATCCCACTCCTCAATGCAACAAGGATTCTATATCTATCCTCATAAAGACTGCTAGAAGTGGCCTCATTTAGTCTACACCTGACGTAAGACCTGTTGCATAGCTTGTTATCCCAGAGAGAGAGCTGAGAGAGGAAAAACGACTGATTGATCTGCTGTCAAAAGAAGAGAAAAGTTAGCAGAAGAACTTGATGTTAGCAGGGGATGGAAGGGAGGAGATCAGGATGCAGGGGAGGGTGATAGGAAGGGCAAAGAAAAACAGAGGTAAGATGACAAAAGAAGAAGTTGAGAGAGATACCAGAGAGATAACAGCGGGAGAGGGTGAAGTTAAGTGGGAATTTGTTGAAATTTCTCTCGCGGTTTACCTTGGGATATGTGAAGTGTTGGCGGTAATAATAGCAGTATGTCTCTTCAGTTATTAATGGCGCGCTCATCAACAAACGAAAAGCAACAGGAATGCGTACTTTTATCTGTATTTTAAGAGTTTTTTTTCCTTTTTTTTTGGCAAGCGTGCTAGCTAGACTGCAGATAACCAGATTTATTTATTTTTCAGCTGCACAGACCTTGAAATAGAAGCACACAAACCGCCCATTTTAATTCAGAGGTGTGTTGTCTGTAGAGGTTTGGTCTTTGTGGGATGAAGCTGTGAAGAGCTGTGAAGAGAAACAACTAAAAACACTGATGGCTTCCTGCCCGGTACGTGATGCATGCACACTTGACTCCCCGGTTGTGCAGCACGTACGCATCTCCTTTTTTTAGTCTTTAAGTTGCTCGGTTTCGTCTTGGCTTCGTGCTCCTTTGGGTGTCTTGCTTAGGAAACTTCAAAATATGCCACAGAGGGATTATGAGAGAAGGAAACTGATAAAACTCAAACAAAATTATTGGTTTCATTAATGTAGGTGTTTGCCTCTGCAGTAAAAAAAAAAAACACAATTCCCTCCAGTGGGACAGCGAGAACTTAAGTTGTGAAAGTTGTGAAATAATCTAATCATGCATCATTTCAGCATGAATTAGCAATGCGGTAAATATGCACTTGTTGTCGTTTTCCGATTATTGAACATCATAAAACATTTAGAAAGCAAACAGGCCCAGAGTAGAGCAAACAAATAATAACCAACGTAAGGCAAAGATATTAAAAAGTACATTAGGAATTAAATATTAACGGTGTGATAGCGAGGAACGCGTTTGGAGCACCATTAGTCATTTTCAAAAATGTTTGGCCACAGAATAAGCAGCTAAATATAAATAATACACTCAGTCGCGCTATTAATTAGCAGCAGCAGACCACTTCAGGTAAATGACAGGCGGAGAGGAAGAAATGTAGCGTCTGACGGGAGGGAGAACGACGAGGAGGCTTTTAATGAGTGGATATCATATTTTTAAAGCAGCTAGCGGAGTGTCTTTGTTCTCTAAAAATGCTTTGACAAACCATTTGGGGGAAGAGACGGATGTGTTCGACGTCATGAGGCGTTATAGGAGCTACGTGCTCCCGAAGAAAGTAGGTTTCAGTGGACGGAGGCTGCGAAAGGCCACGTCGAGGTCATTGGTTCTTGTTGGTTTGTGAACCAGATGTAAGGTGGACTTCCTCTGCGAGCTGTGATCACCTAAAGAAAGGAGTGCCTTTTTAGAGCAGTTCATTTGAATGACTTTCGAGTGCCGGAAGAAGTCATCATGTGAGCTATTTTGCAAGGAGAAGGCAGAGAAAGTAGGGAGCTGACAGTTTCTTTGTTCTTCCCCTGTAATTTTGTTCACAGTGTCCATCTTCCTTTTTTAGTCGTACTGATGTCACTCTGATGAGTCTAAAAGTTGGCGTCTCTCTCTCTCTCTCGCTCTCTTTCGGTGTCACTGTCTGGCGGCATTAGAATGAGCCGCTGCTCACCGTCGACCAAGGGTAGGGTGACATTTATAATACAGAACATCCACTTCCAAAGCAGCCACCGCCGATTTCAATATTTATCGTGGACACGCTAGGCTGCTGCGAAGGCACGAGGAGCGAGCTAGTGAGCTAATGTAGCTTCCACATGCTGGCTCTGACTTCAAAGGATATCTTTAGTTGATAGCTTCAGACAGACTTGATGAGAATTGATAAAGCAAAGCTCTTCTGAGTTTCAAACCTCAAAGGGGGGAAAATGTACTAAATGCTGCTTTAAGACAAATCCCAGACTTTTCCCAACAGATTTTTTTTCTTCTTATATTCCTCCTTTCTTATGGCCCGTTCAATCAAAATTTGTAAGCAAGGACAGCTTTCTCCTCAAGCCGGAGTCCCCACCGGACGCCACCGAAGCACTTGTTTCATTTCAATTAGTTTTCACTTCCCCTTAGTGCTTAAAATGACTAGTTGCTCAGTTGATTAGTTGTCAAGTGAAGTCGGTTTTATTTATATATATCCCAATATCACAAAGCGCTAATTTGCCCCAGGGGGCTTTACAATCTGGGCAGAATAGAACACCCCGTGTCTCGAAGCCCTCAAAAAACTTTCCAACAACACTTAGGAAGAGCAATTTAGGAGGGATTCAGGACGGACAGACATG